TTCAAACTTCACAAAAACTTTAAAATAACACCTTGCCCTTGATTTCGTAGCTTGTTTACCTACAAATGACGTCACGCGTTCAATTTGACATTTTGTTACGTTTGCGCGCCAATTTGTTTCTATTTAAATTTTAACATAGTTTTAGCACATTTTAGAGACTATTAAGCTTTATTTTAATAAAATATTATTTTTCATGGCTGTACATATCTATTTTAGTTAATTCTAGACACTTTCTGAAAAATTGTCCGATTCCCTATTTAAGGTATAATACATGCATCCCCGCATGCTTTTGTAAAAAGCATTTATGAGATGGCTCCCATAAGAGGGTTCCCATAGTACGACGTCAGTATTACGGGTAAAGTCATATTAAGGTAGGCTGTTTTCATTGGATTAGCTTCAACAATAGTCCGCAACTCAACATAGTTCACCTTAAGATCTGCCTGTCCACTAGGTTCAATTGTCAGTTTAAAATTCCCATTACGAATTGGGCTAACCAAAAACCTCCACAGTGGGTATGTGGATACAACTAACAAAGTTGTTTCAACATCATATCATAAATATTAGATTACATACGTTGTTCCGTTCCCAAAGTAACTAAAGCACTTGTGTTATGGAAATCGAATAACAACGGCACCACAAACACCTAGAGCCGAGACAATATATAAATGTTTCCTACATTGACCCGGCCGGGGATCGAACCCGGAACTTCAGAGATAGCGACACCATGAAAACCGGTGTACAAGCCACTCGACCACGTTGCCATGCTTACAATATTAACAGTAAGTATGTTTGAAATACACATAGACTTACTGTTCTTATCGTAAGCACGGCAGCATGGAGGTCGTCATATGCATGTGTATCGTATACGTATCATTAATGCTTCGAATTATTTGCGCGGCACTAGCACCATATATGAACACATATTTAAAACGTACACAAATTTGTATACTTTTCAAGTTATAATCAAAATCTCACCCATCAGGAAACAATTCATTGAGTTCGTCCTCTGGGAACTTGCAGTCTTCTCCTTCAGTAGATAACCCTAATGGGTCAGGAGGTGTGTAGGCTGTGGGTGACATGGGCCTCCGACCCCAAGGCAAGGAAGGAGGAGCTGCCTCTTCCACCCATACTGCACTCTCTTTCACTGGCCCAATGGACTCGTGGTAGCCTGGAGTATGTATGTGCAAAAATACATTAAAATTGCTCTATTTGATTTAATTGATTTAAGAATGTGTTTCTTAAACATACCTTATAATAATCTCAATCTTTATTCATCGAATAAATGAAGTATTACAAAATAGTGTATCTATTACTACTACCTTCCATGACATCAATTCATCTATAATTAGCCCGAGGTATTTAGGAGAAGTTCCATGTTCAAGGGAGGCACATGAGCAGTTAGAGTTACTTGGGAAATTGGTGCAATTAGTAACTCGAATTTTGAATGCAGCTTTTTAAGGTTTGGGGATTTTTTTAATATAATATCAAGGTGACGGGACGAACAAATCGTGCGCCTGATGGTAAGCTACACGCCTGTCCGTAACAGGTGCAGTGCCAGTGAGCTTTAAATCGTAAAGATCTGATCTGGGGCACTGCCACTGCGACGGTCACCCTGAGACATAAGATGATAAGTCTCATGTGCCTGTAATTAGTTGTTATAGTCCATTAGTTTAGATACTAAACTAAACTTAAACAATCTTGAGATGTCTATTTAATGAAACATACATTTATAAAATGATTTTTACTTACCTTAAAATTTTATTTTTTATTTTTTTTTTTTTTATACCTGACAGGCAAATGACTCCACTCCACCTGATGTTAAGTGGAAAGTGGTATCCAAACGCGAAGGAACCTAGTGCAGCGATGGAATCCTCACTGCACTAGCCGCCTCCACCCTGCCTGCCTACAATATGCCTCTTCACGAAAATCAAAATACAAAATACGTATACTTAGCTTCATATGAAATTGCATGCCTATTTTTATACCAATTTATTTATAACGCATATGTTTCATTTAAAAGATGTATCAAGATTGTTTACATTTAGTTAAATCATTGTGGTCCTAAACCGCCGAAAAGAAACAAACGGACTATAGTAACAGTACAGCTCCTTGTGAAGGAGTTCGTCCAGGAAAGTACTGCCACCTTACTTATTTCTGCCCAAGCAGTAATGTCAGCATTACTGTGTTCCGGTTTTGGAGGGTAAGAGTGCTGGTGAAATTAGAGGCACATGAGACTTAATACGTGCAATAATACTTTCCCGCATTTATACTACCAAGATAAGAAACGTTTTATTAATTTCATAAAACAAACTAACCAAAAGCCAAACAATACAATAAAAATGCATTTTAACTAAGAAATGCAAATCAACCTTTATTCTTATTCAACCTTAATATGGGTCATTATTTTCGATATCGACAATCTAACATTAGTTTAAATGGTTTTGATTAAAAAAAAATTCATTTATTCCAGACAATATACAGTCCATTTTGTTAGTACACTTACAAGCTATCTATTCTACTGTTAGTACAAAAATTACAAAATATAATAACAATAATATAATTAATAATAAAAAAAATTAAATAAATAAATATAATAATATACTTATAATAAAAAAATAATAAAAATAAAAAATAATATAAACAATAAAAAAATATAATATATAATAAATAATACCTCTCTCTCTAAATGACATCTCTCGCCAGGACTGTTAACTGTAAAGATATCTAACTGGGTGAAAACTTTCATAGATTTCTCATAGATGGCGCTACTACCAAAAAGTCGTTGAAAAAACCAAATACAAAGATACGACTCATGCACATAGAAAAATTCGTGAGGTCCGCTGGTTCGTTATGTGGCTTAATTAGTATAGCGTCTGACACGGTAAGCTAGAAGACGTCGTCGGTTCGAACCGGCCGGATCGAAGGAATTTTTTGTGAGTGTTCGATCTTTGTATTAATAAATATAATAAATGTATGTTTTTGTAATCTCAGTACAGAGTACTAAAAAAACCGACCTCAAAAGTACGTGGAATTACATATAATTACCAAGTTTTATTGAAATCGGTTACCGGAAAATGCGCAAACCCGGATTCATCCCCTAGTTCGCCACTATACGGGAATTGACACAGGAGATAATAAGAATCGGTTCTCACTACTCAAAGTATATTGAGAGAAAAACGCCTTGAATTAAAGAATAGCAAAATCAACCATTAAAATAATTGCTCATTATACTAAAATTTAGGCACTATTTATAAAAATGATTCTTCATGCGTGAGCAGCCACCCTTAGGGTGGATGATTTTCTTCAAAATGAAATGGTGGTCTACGGAGGTACCCTCTTTCCAACAAAAAAAGAATCATGAAAATTGGTTCACAAATACCGGAGTTATCGCGTAACATACATACAAAAAAAAACAGTCGAATTGAGAACCTCCTCCTTTTTTGTAGTCGGTTAATAAAAAATTACAATTTGTTAAAAAATATATTTCGAAATTATTATCCAATGATTATAGATACCATAAATGAACTGTGCATCAATGTTTACTCGATTCACGCAGAAAATTTTAAAGGTTTTGTGTATGGTAACAAAAATTTAACACCTCGATCACGAAATTGATTTGTTTTTTTAAGCCAGGCGATATCTTTTTTTATTATTATTTAATATTATTATTACCCTTAAAACTAGAAAACTAAACATTATTCTTGGCTACCTTTTTATTACAATAATCACGTCATTTAAATCAAACAAGGTTACCTAATACCACTCTGTCACATTTCTTTATATCAGTACCAGTTTTTTTAATATTATGTTATTAACAAGGGAAAATTGAATTAAACATTGGTTACCACCCTCAATATAAACTAATTAATAATTAAATACTTAATTTTAATACATATGTATCAAATGTTGAACACAAATACCTTTTGACTCTTGCAAAGGTGACACATTTGTGACAGAGTAGTAGTAAAGTGACAATTAACTGCCCACGTGGCCGACTGCCACGCAGAGGTCCCAGGTTCGATTCCCGGGCCGGGAGAAATATTTGTATGGCCTACATTTATTTCTCTCGTGGGTTTGGGTGTGATTTGTGATCCATAGCACCCACGACGCAAGGTTCCCTAGTGCGGAGCTATGTTGAGTGTGTGCGTTATTATTATTATTAATGTGGTAATTTTATAATAATGTTGCATTTGATAGAACATCATATTTTTAGTTGTTTCGCTATCATTTTTATGTTTACTTTCCTTTTCCTTGTCATTGCTTTTTGAACTATCAAATTTTTTGTCTTATTCTTTCGATTAAGTCTTTTTTATACTTCTGTAGCTTTCTCTGTGATTCTAGTAATCGGTGTTTTAACTGGACATTTTCGAGGTAAAGCCTCTTCCGACTTGCTTTCTTCTTCTTGCGCTAGCTCTGGACGACCCTGGAGTCGATTCACGAGATTGAGGACTTAAAGGATGTAACATCGGACTTGAAGGAAAGGGCTTAGACGCAGGAGTGTTCAATAAAACGTTTCTTAAAGCTACCTGTTTTTCTCTTCTCTTCTTGTTCTTAATTTGCCATTTTCGTTTCATTAATCTGTGTTCTACTGTTGTCATATCTTTAACAAGCCTTTTCCGAGCATGATATCGCACTAAATCTTTTCGTTTGATTTGTTGAGGTTGAGGTTGGTTTTCCTTTTTTCACTATAACGTCGTTGCTACCTCTCAACTGCATAACGTGGTATTTTTTCTGTTTAAATACTGAAAACTAGTAAAACAATATTTATTTTGATATTTAAGATGTGAAAACATAATCTCTACTACTGTCGAAAGCAGAAAGTTCAAGAATATTTATAAAAATTACTACTCAGTCACGAAAAATACCACCCCGTCACATTATTGTGATGAAGGTGTCCCGTGACGGGGTTGTAAAATAGCGACGTTTGTAATTTTCAGGCATTACCTTATTACAATTTGGAACTAAAGTCCAGCTTATATAAAAGAATTGCCAGGAAACGCCATAATTATAACTAAATACTAAAATAATATGAATATTTTAGAGGCTTAACTTACGTGACCGAGCGGTTGCTGAATAAACACACGCATCTCCTTTGGCAATCTAAGGGTAACTGACTCGACTCACCAGTGTAGCCGAGTGCAGGTTGCTGTTCGAGGAGATTAAGGGAATCACACAGGTCTGTAGTGCACAAGGTTATAATCGCGTATTTCGAAGTAGGTTTTTTTAAATGCGCGTGACCAAGAGATAGCAACCAAATTAGTCATAACCAGCGACTCAAATAAAAAACTTTCTAATTTAAAATATTTGATTTAAAATCTTATTTTATATTGTCATTTTCAATTTACAATATATGTGAAGTTCAATAACGTTATTAAAATAAATCAAGCCATAAGTTTTTTGTTAGGAAAGCAGTTTGTAAACGCATGAAGCGCTGAGGGACACATTTTATTTATATGGATTTCACCTCTGTCACACTTTTTGAAGTACAACGTCACGATATTTTTGCTCAAATAATTAATAACTACGAGTGAAATTTTTAGAAGTCCCATAGGTCATGTTGTTAACAAGAACAAGAATAAAAAAGCAAAAATTACTACCATTATTTTTGTTTAGCTTTGAAGGATACAAGCCAGGGTCAATAGAAAAAAAGAACACCCATATTACTAAATTGAAGGATTCATACCATATCATTAGTGGAATCAAAGATCTATAGGTATCATGGTCTGTATTGATGTTCAGTCGCTGTTCACCAACCTACCAGTAATAGACTGAATAGATTGAAATTGAGCGTGGAAAGCTGAGGGAACATAATGTCCATTGTAAATGCAAATTAATTATTAGAACTGTCTAACATAAACTACATGACTGCGGAAATCATGGGTCATTGCTGCGATGGTTTGAGTCTTATCTAACATGTCGTACGCAACGTGTTACTATAAATGGTTTCCAGTCTAGATCTTACGCAGCTCATTCTGGAGTGCCACAAGGTTCACATCTCGGTCCAATACTCTTCAACTTATTTATTAACGACATTACTGACTATATACGTAACTGCGAATATTTAGTACATGCTGACGACCTTAAAATATACAAAGAAATAAAAAGTGTTGAGGACGTTAAGTTTCTGCAGGCTGATTTGACGGCTGTGGTGCAAGCACAATAAAATGCTATTAAATGTAACCAAATGTACTCATATTAGGTTTACAAAAAAAATCAATACTGTTTCCTCTCAATATTATCTGGATAATCAAGCACTCAATGAATCAACTGAAGTGCGAGACTTGGGTGTTCTGATAGACAACAAATTAAGTTTTAGTGCCCAGATAAATAGTACAGTCAAGAAGTCGAGGAAAATTTCAGGGTTTGTGAAGTGTACTTGTAAAAATTTTTGAAACGTACACGCAATTTTAACATTGTACAACTCGTTAATTCGGAGCACTCATGAATATGCGACACCAATATGGAATCCGCACTATCAAATCCATGTAGAGAGGATAGAACGCGTACAACGCGCATTCACTTGCTTTCTAGCATATAAAAATGGACAATGCCCATATAGAGCAGACTATGGCGAGCGTCTGTTACATTTCAAGGTAAGAGACATTAAAGACTCGGAGACAAGTTTTCAACCTATTTTCCTCTATAAGGTTTTACATAGCTAGCTAGACACGCCTCAAATAATGTCTCAAGTTACCTTGGCGATACCCAGAAGGCTTCCACGTTACCCAGTGAGAAATATATTTTCGATTCCTGTATCTTCTGCTAATATAGGCCATTTTTCTCCACTTTACTGTATCATGAAAAAATTCAATAATGTAAAACAAAGTAGACGTGGTTGACATCTTCCATGACTCATTATATAAGTTCAAACGGAATGTTACAACTGCTTTAAACTCCTAAGACGCCATGTCTCAAGGGTTTTGTTTTGTATTGTTTAATAATTTTTTAGATAGTAGTATTTTTGTTTCTATTTGCTTTTTAAATTTTTTGTTTACAACGTCAACGTCAATAGTACAACGTACTGTATAAAAAATTATATGTTATAACATTGAAATTTCTCTATGTATGTGCCGATGGTGTATCTAAATAAATAAATAAATAACATCAAGCTACCATTGTGGAATGATAAATTATAGCTACAAATTGACGGTATATGGGAGTTTTACCCATAGCCCCAGCTAGGCCGAAGATGTACAAAAGGTGTGGTGATGATACTTTCACAATATTGCCAAAAGATACCACACCTTCTTTCTTGGACCATTGCAATGCACATATGTTGTAAATAGTAAAGAATTAGGTTTAAATGTGTGATTAACTTGAGAATTTTTGCTATTTATTTGATTTGAGTTTATACAGGTCTCCCTCAATTTGGTTTGAAAAAGTGGAGTTCTTTGAGTATTGCGGAAAAAAACAATGCCGTAGGAAACTCAGCAAAATTCATATCCATTTGTTTTGGCAAATTAAGTAGCTATGGAGTAGTTTCTTAGTATGAAATGTAAGTAATTCAAGTAGTAAGGTATTAAAGTAAGTAAGGTATTTGTCAACATATACTGACTTTGGTGCACCTTCATTCAATAAGTTTGTAGAATTAAATTCTGAAAAATGGCAGCGGCAACTGTCTGTCATTTACTTTGGCCACGCGAAGTACATACACTTGTATGTGTCTATATAGATATATGTCTGTATATTTTTCTGTATCTAATAGAGCAATAAAAATGTTTGATGTAATACCACTTATGACATTCTTCCTTGAGGGGTATAAGCATAAGATATACTTTCTAGCCTATTCCAACTCAAGTATTAAGGCATAATTTTACCTCTAAACTGAACAGTAGATGTTCCCTCTCCTCCAGATCGTGTTGTAGCTATAATATCTCCACGTCCTTTGCACGGGCCCGATCGCGCCACTATTTTATTTTTGCTCTTCCATTCCGCGGATAATAAACAGTCACAACCACATATTTTCAAACCTGCAACCAAGGATGCATAAATACCGTCACCGCCCCCTCTGATTTAATGAATTGTTCTAGCGTAAAAACAGCTAAGGTCGTTTTTAAAAAGCTCTATTCTGAAATAATATTGTTTTCATATATTACCAATTAAATCGTTTGCAGTGGTGCCTAAAAATTCTCCTCTTATCGTTACCCTAGTGCCAGGAGGGCCTTCCTTCGGCGATATTCCAGTAACAACTGGTGGGGGGCCCATTTCCAACACGCGACTTTTCAAATTTCAAATCGGTAGTAAGTAAATATATTTGTAGCAATAATAACTATTTCTCAATCACACATTTAAATAAAAAAAATCCGGACATGGAACACAAACAATAAGTCAAGTTTTGTGCTGTGTTGTGTTATTATTATTTCCTTAAATGGCAGCCACCACGCTTGGTTGGGCACAAACTACTTAACTGGGCTTGGGTCAGTTTCAGTTTCGATGGTTTCGAGGAATGCGGTAAGTTATTGTTGAACAAGAACAACATCTATGTCATGTATAGGATGCACAAATAGGATGGGAAAACGAGAAATGCGTGCACGGAAAATAAATGTAGGTTTTTTTAAAATTATTTCTGGCCATGGAAACAAAGGCCTTCAGCCGAAAACATAAACGTTTAATTATATTTCTGTAAATATGACCACCACAGAGGATAGGCAATTTGAGGCGGCGTGCTTGGATTGACTCGGGATTTTCGCGTTTTAATCTTCGGTTAAGGCACAATAGCACTATCCTATTCCACTTTAAACTAGATTTCACAAAATAATTGAAAGTCAAAATAAAAACGACACTTTGCCCTCCAAAAGGCCCAGAGCGAATCAATATAATAATAAATGTAGGTACTGAATAGTGTTGCCAGACTTTTGCGAATAATAATAATCCTCTTTGAGGTAATTCGCCAATTTATCTGTGCTAAGTAGCCGTTATTCGCCCGAGCCATAAAATCCCTAAAAATCAAGAAAAACAATACTAAAATTCTGTTAGCTGCCGGACAATTGGGATATGAAATCTCTTATTTCCCCAATTCCACACACATAAAAATACTAACCCCCAAATAAGTTACTTTACAACTCCATTCCTCACGAAATCCCCAATCAAATTTGTAATTCCCCAGACATTTTATTAAGTAGCCTAAAATCGCCTTTTCCTATTTTAAACATATCACGACACGAATAAGGCGATTACTTTTTAAGTCGCCGCGCGACCCCCAAAGTAACCTAAATCTCGAAAAATCGCCTGATCTGGCAACAGTGGTACTGAACTTTTTGAAACAATCGTGTCGAGTAGTTAAAACGCGTTCACATATTCGTGCGATAGGCGATGCGATGCACGCACAGAACAGTGTTCTGAGAACACTATACTCACAAGGAGAAGAAAACCGACTTCATACAAAAAATACGGAACCGTAATTGTAAACACTTGATAGTATCGGGGTTAATACTAGGTGGCGCGATAGTATACATTGTCATAAAGGCGGGAATTTTCAAACAAATTCGAACCACCTAGCGCGGGCTTTTCAAATTATTATAGCTAGCTTTAAAATATATTATAAAGATGAAATAGGGATACGTACATACACTACATATATTTAAAATATGTGTAGTGTATGCGTTTCCTTATTTGATCTTTATTATAATGTTTCTATAACAGAAACAGAGGAAATAAAGGTCAAATATAGAAAATAAAGACATTTATACAAAACGTGGTTTTTATTAACATATTCAACCTACTAAATCAATTGTGTAAGCTAACTTAATAATACAGGTGTAAGGTGTGGTAAGGAGATATACTGCCTGAGGAAATCGGCAAGCCAAAAAATTACATACTAATACATACATAATTACACACATATTATTAGTTTACTAACCTTATCACATTCTTTATATGGAAATGCAGATTTAACCATTTTTTCACCTACAATATCATAAAATATTTCTTATTGAAATGTTTCGTGCACAACATTCTGTGTTCAGAGTACAGCTTGGTCTGGAACTCTGGTGAATACCATAGGCCTTGTGGAAAACAATACTTAGCCCACAATTCACATCTGAAATTGAGAACAGTGTTACGTAATTTCCGCAAAATAACCGGCACCCGGTGCGACCTTACTTGAACATTTTAATCACAATGTATAGTACTTACTTAAGGCTATTTGTTCTTCCAGGCTTCGGAAAGCGGTGCAAAATAGTGTTACTATTTTCTCTAGGAGAAACGTCACATTTTACACACTTCCTTGCGTTTTTTTTCATATTGTAAGAAAGAAAAGAGTCACTATCTTAATAATGGAGTCCTGTCTCACAGTTCACGACACTGGGCTCACCGAAACACAAACGGAGGAGCAAGAAGCTCAACTCAACGTTACGCAACGGGAAACCGAGAATAAGTGTATAAAATAGAGAATTTACAAGACAAACAACAACGTGCGCCATGCGCAAGCGACGACGGCCATCTTGTGGAAAAAAAATAGGGATGCACATAACGATTAAATTTTTATGAAAATCGATTCATGTGTATACGACATAGCAATTTTTTGTATCGATTCATGCTATTTTTAAGCAAATCGATTCAACATTAAGGCGAATCGAAACGTCTGGATTGTATTTATAATTTAAACATAATAGTATCTTTCCGAACCACTATATAGTAAGTCTAATCCGATTTTATATTGATCTGCGAGAAAAGTAGTTTGGCAACATCCAAGTGTACAATGAATAACGACTATATTACTTACGCCGTATTATAGCCAAGAACATTCACAGAAAGTATACGCTGCAAAGAAGACACTATTAATAGCAATAGGTTCGTAATCTACTATGATGACAATAGTGTTTTCTTTTATTTTATTTTTTTCAGAGTGTTAGTACCGTAGTACTGTGGATTGACGCGATAGTCTATACCTATCTATTGGGAATGACCTGCAGGCAAATAATATTGAATGTTGACCAATGATATTTATCTATAGTTTTTTGAATTAATGGAAAACTCCTGGCGAAGTTGCTATTAGTTGCACAATATATTTCGTTTAGCTTTGATCTCGCTCGTTATAGCGTCAAGAGTTTTTGTTTTTTTTTTTTTAGGATTGCCCTTGACCATGGTCTTTGACAATGTGGTAAGTGTAGATGTGTTTACTATAAAATATCAGTTGGCAGTTTTCAGTTTAATAAATAAACAATTTATTTATGTATTATCAAAAGGTACATCAACAGCAAAATAATATGTATTAATACATTCATACAACTTATTCGGTAACATTCTGGTTAGTTTTTTATTAATTTACATATTATGTAATGATGAATTTTTTAAATAGATATTTTCGTCTTGTTGTTCGTTTCCATTCTGACATTATATCCCATTTTAATATAATTACATAAATATCTAATTAATTCATTTTCAGTTTGGTGTGTCTATAATACTTAATCCATGATTTATGATTTGATTATGTTTTGCCTCGTTTTTACGCGCGTCACTCGATACTTGAGGAAACGAGATGGAAATTGTTAAACATGTGGTATTTTACTAATTATCACGCCATTACCAATGAAGTAAAGTTCTATCTCGTTTTCTATATAAGGTGCGGGGTTACTAAATATCAGTATATATTATTATGATATATTATGTTCATATATTATTATGGTTCTATATGTTCTATACGAAATAATTAAAATATACGATCCAAACAATCGATTCAAAGTGTAAAATCGTACATCTCTAGTAAAAGTTCATCAGTGTTGCCAAATTGACCGATTATAATGATTAAACAGATCCTTCACGATAAATTTATAAAATATATCAAATTTATTAAATAAATTACCTTGTACTTTATGGTAAATTTATAAAATATATTAAATTATCAAAAGAAATAACTTTTGTATTTGAAATGTAATAAAATAAAAAACATGTCAGAATTTATGTAGGTGAGATTGAATATACTTTCTACCTAGTAACACTGTTCGCTATCTCGCTTCGATTTTCATTCGCTATCTCGTTTTGATATTGCCCCATGTAGGTATTCCCAGAGGCTCAGCCAATGTCGGCAGGGCCTGCCTGGATGCACGACACTTCGCTATTCGCGTCGTGCATCGCATCGCCACTCATGCGATCGCGTCGTGAACACGAGTTTTTTAAGGTGTGTTTTTTTTTGACAGAAAAGTATACAAACTACAATCAATGGTAAATATAAACTCTTGGTATTTCATGGCATGTATCCATATTATTTTCGTAAATATTTATACAATGTATTTTCGTTAAAATATATACAAAAAAGGTTATTGTAAGTTCTTGGACAACACTCAAACAAGGTAATTATCACGGCCTTGAATATTAAACTAGACCACGCACTAAGTCAATAAAACGAGCCGAGTGAGAGGCTTCAAAGTAGTAATGCGTCTCTTTCATTCGTGTTTCAGCCAGCCATATTGTTTTTAACTTTTTAATTTTTAAAGAAATTGTGGCCGCTTATGGATGACCAAAACTACTAATATTATTTCATAATTCAAATTAGTATACTTATTTGATATGCTACTTCATAATATACGGTTTCATTGTTGATATATGTTTTTTTTTATTATAGTAAAAGCATAATTTATTACCTTTAAGCTAATTTTATTTTACCAAAATTAAAAAACGTTAATACACTAGACACTATCTAAGATGATTTTATTTAGCCTTGGCAACTTGTTAGACAAGAACGGACCACTACTTCGAGCTTTCTCACGTACCTCGGTTTTTACTTTTATTTAAAATAAACCTTAACATAACCCAATAAGGTGTAAGTTTGTAATATTGGTATATCGAAGTGCGCGATCCAGTTTATGAAATATATAAATCCGTGTAGTTATATTTGGTGTCAATTTCAATAGTAAAATGTAATGACTAAAACCTAATAAATTCCGTAGTTTTAAAAGTGGTTACATAAAAATGATAAAATCACAAACGATATTTAAAAAAAAGCAAATGGTTTGTTATAATTTTTACGAAAATGATATGGATAAATATTATAAAACATCGATATTGTTGATGTATATTTATCACTGGTTGTTTACTTTTTTCTGAAATAAAAGTAATATTTAAAAACATATTTTTGAACACAACACAAAGTAGGTACTTGTTTTTGGAATAGCTAATATTATATATATTGCATATATTCGAAAAGTAACAAACGTTTACATTTCATTGCATGCGACACCTACGTATATACAGGGTGTTCCAAAAATAACACGCCAGAGCGACACTGTGGGTAGGTGAACTATATACCTACCAGAAAAAAATAATTTGAGCTTAGTAAAAGTCTTTTAGTTTTCGAGATATTTGCACTTTTTATTTTTTTGGAATAACTCTACTTTTTGTTGAGTTTTTTGCTACTATTGCCAGGGTTAGCTCCAGATGGTAGTTGTGTTTATTTTTCAGGTAACCTGAATAGTTTTTTCAGGTACTGCAACTAATATTTTATCTGATAAATGTCATAAAATGTGAAAAAAGTTATTAATTTGGCATACGTCGTACCCTTGTAAAAAGTTAAACGTTAACTTTGAATAGCTAGTGTGAAAAAAAAATGTATGAAACTGAATTTGCAAATGATCTTAAAAATTGCTCCACTTAATGCAGAATCAGGAATGGTACAATATTATTGAGATTTTTCACAAGAACATAGTCAATTAATTTATTTTTCGTCATAACACCCTACCAGCCTAATCAGTTTCTAAACAAAATTAAATTTAAACGTTTAATGAATTAATTGCTAAGCGCTAGGTAACGGCGCATCAATCTTTTTCCCACGTTGTATTCGTAATAAAGGAGTGAGATAGTTACTAGGCTTTTCTTTCTCTCTCTGAACTGGTACAAACAAACTGTGACAAATCAAACTTCCCAAAAGCATGCGGATTTAGCTACTAATATCGTGGTAGAGTGCCTTTGTGTGTCGCTTGATTTGTCGCCGTTTTTACTTAATGGAAAATAAAACAATAAAATTTAAATAATTTAGTTTTTATTAGATATTATAGCAAGTGTTCAAACTGCCTCCCTCTGAATCTAACGCACATGCGACATCTTTTGACTTATGAGCTTCTCAGATGCCTCAAACTCATTTGAGAAATTTCTCGAGCTGCTTCATAGACTCGTCGTCGTAGTTCGGTTTCTGAAGTGATAGCTTTGGAGTAAACTTTATCTTTTAAGCACCCCCAATAGAAAAAGTCGAGGGGGTTCAGATCAGGTGATCTCGGTGGCCACAAAATTGGTCCCAATCGGCCAATCCATCTTCGTGGGAACGTCTGGTCGAGGTGCGTTCGGACGTCGCGAGCGTAGTGGGCTGAACACCCATCATTTTGAAACCACATTCTTCTTAGTAATGCTATTAGCACATCTTCGAGAAGGTTTGGCAAATGGTTTTGTAAAAACTCTAAATAATTTTCGCCATTTAGAGTCGGAGACAGTTCAACTGGACCAAATGTCCATAAATTAATTTTAAACTGGTGTTGGGACCGATCTTCTCTTCTCTCGTGCGGGTTCTCTAACTGCCAGCTATGGATATTGTGGAGGTTTACATAGCCATCTCTGCGACATGCTGATTCATCACTCCACAAAATCGTATTAAAAAAGTTGGGGTCTTCACTGTGCTTTTGAAGCATTTGTCGACAAAACTGTACGCGTTTAGCGTAATCGCTCGGCAGTAAAGTTTGAACTCTCTGAATATGGTATGGGTGGTATCGGTGCCTTTTTAAAATTCGCTGTGCCGTAGACTTTGAAATGCCAGTCCGTATTTCTATCAGGCGAACTGAAGTGGACGGATCTCTTGACACTTCCTGCAAAACTATTTCGTCTGCGACGGTACGAGGTCTGCCTCCACCACGATGGCCAGGGTTCCTACCCTGTCTGTATGCAGCATCAACTCTTATTATGGTCTCATGGGTCGGTGGTTTACGGTTAGGAAATCTTACCGCATACAATCTTGCTGCTAATCTTGCATTTAACGATACGATGCCGCGAGCAGAAACACGTCTAGTTTCGCCGTAAATTAGGTACATGTCAGCGTAATCACTATGAGTGAATTCGGGGTTTGCTCCAACGATAATCTCTTGATCTGCCATTTTAACTGTATAAAGGCAGTATCCGGAGGCGCAGCCGTCAATCACACACAAACAACACGGCCCAAATAGTAAGCAAATCAGGGTCCAAAGTAATGCCAAGTTGTTGATATGATTACTAAAAAAATTTTTTCGATCGTTATCAAATCAAAGTCCAAAGTGATGCCAAATCGTCGAAAGTGTAGAAACGGAAGCAGCGATAAAACGAAAAACGAATACGTAGCACAAAACACAAAGGTATGTAGGTACTAACGGGTACTACGGGCCCAACCCGACCCGATCCCACCTGGCGACCGATACCGACGTAAGAGAGAGAGATAACAAATAAGGGTCATACCTCTCGCTCATTTTTTGTTTCATACAATTTTTTTTCACACTAGCTATTCAAAGTTAATGTTTAACTTTTTACAAGGGTACGAGGTATACCAAATTAATCACTTTTTTCATAGTTTATGATATTTCTCAGTAAAATATTAGTTGCTGTACCTGGAAAAACTATTCAGAATACTCGAAAAATAAAAATAACAACCATCTGGAGCAAACCATGGCAATAATAGCATAAAACCCAACAAAGAGTAGTTTTTGCAAAAAAATAAAAAAGGGCCTATATCTCGAAAACTAAAAGACTTTTACTAGGGTCAAAATATTTTTTTCTGGTAGGTATATAGCTCACCTACCCACAGTGTCGCTCTGGCGTGTTATTTTTAGGATACCCTGTATAATGGTATAAAAATACTTATATTATCTTCAGTGTCTATTGTGCGTCCGCAGCCATACACAGATCCCAATAAATTTTCCATGGCGGTATATACGAACCATATAGGTTCATATGATGTATATTTATTTATATTTCTACCCCCTTACCCGAAATTATAGATTGGTTTTTTCTTACGAAGATACACACGAAAATTTGCCATTAACTTCTTCGCTTTCAACTCATTGACTGGTAATTTTATAATATTAATACGGTTCCATGCATCGTTTACTTTGTGTTTTTGTGGTTTGGATGTTTTGGGTTTCAAATGAGTTCTTCTGTTTCATACATATCGTTCTAGAAAATGCAAGACCTCCAATTCATTTTGTACTTACGTATTATCACTTTGGGAGCTAGCAGTTTATTTATATATATATATATATATATATATATATATATATATATATAATATAAAATATAATATAAAAAGTACTCTGTGGTTTATCTGAAGCGGGACGAATAAGGAAATGGCAGGCTTTTGAAGTTACAACTACAGTCTTTACAAAGATTATTAATTTTATTTTAAGTATGTTATGGAGAAAAAAACGTAAAAAGAAATAGCGATGAAGAAAGTTAGAACTATATTCCTTAACAGAAACCAAATTACAAAAGACTTTATCCTGAAAATTCCACTAATTACGAATTCAAAGTTTTTGTTCAAAATGATAGAAGATAATGTGATCTATGTGAAAGTGAAAACATAAATATAAGTCTGTGGGAGGAAGTATTTAAACTTTAAGTAAAAAAGTTGCTAGATTCCAAGATTTTAATTCTGGGTAAAATTGCCTAAAATGGCTGATCAAAAACATAATTATGGGATTGAATTTTTAAATATAAATATATAAAGAAGAAAATATTGGAAAATATTGAAAAATTGGCAACTCAATCGAAATTGCATATAGCCAAATGCTGGACACCATAGTGCCAAGAGAAATAAGAAAAAAAGAGCAGTCAAAAAAAAAAATTCCCGTGAATGGGTTCATTTGATTTGATCGTAATATTCAAATTGCTGCATTCAAGCATTACTTCTGATTTATACAGTTTAAATATGCTCGAATTATCGTAATTGAAATTATTAAGGATTAAAAAAAACATGGTAGGAGAAAAATGTTTTCTAACCTGTGATGTGATATTTATTTCCTAACATTGTATCATTTGCGCTATATTTTTGTTGCAGGCAAGTTCTGTAATAATTGCTGGTCTGGGCATGGCTGCTGTAGGCTTCGCAGGGCGATATATACTAAAACAGATACCCAATGCTTCTACCAAATTTACTGAAGCCATAAAAAACTTGCCGAAATTCGACGCTGAGTCTTTAGCTAATTCAAAATATTACAAAGGTGGTTTCGAACCGAAAATGACGAAAAGGGAAGCCTCGCTTATATTAGGTGTCAGCCCAACTGCTAGTAAAGCCAAGGTTTGTATCTTCCAAATATATATATAAACATGTACATTTTGAATAATATAAATCAAAACTATTACCAGACATCAGAATAGGTAGAGTATATTATTATAACTGCCTTCGTGGGCAATGTGGGTGAATGTTTACAACGTCTGGCTGTCACGCAGTGGTCCCAGGTTCGATACCCAGGAGATTTGATTCGATCTAACTTAGGAGTTTGGGTGTGATTTGTGTTTGATTCCAGAGTGTATTATTACTTGAAGTTTAGGTAAATATACTCAGCCTATTCCGATCTATGCTTATTTACATCCTTTATTTTTTATTGACTACAGATCAGAGATGCTCACAGAAGAATAATGTTACTAAACCACCCTGATCGAGGAGGGTCACCATTGATAGCTGCTAAAATTAATGAGGCAAAGGATGTGCTAGAATCTGGCAAATCATGATTTTACATCATTGTGTATCATAGGGACAATTTGTCTATATTTGTAGTTTCCAATATTAGTCCTGTATAATTACATTAACAAATTTTGTTAAGAAGCAGGTTGCATGAAGGGTTACTTGGGGGATGCTTCAATATTGTGATAGACTAATATAATAATAATAAAAATATGGTAAGAACACAAATGCAAAATAATCCCTTAATTTTATTTGGGATAACAACAACCATTGTACAATTTTAATCTTAACATACTTTCAGTGTGCTTTTTGGCATAGGCCAATTACATATATCCTCTAAAATAAATTATTGACTATGGAAGTATTTGTTAGTTAAAAGAAGAAAAACAATATGAGAAAAAAGTGAAAAACATATCATATTAAAATAAATAGTCACATGAATATCTATTAATCAATCAATATGCATATCGGATTTCTCGCGAATGCGCGAGAATTCCGCGGAAGACGGACGCGACGTAATTTTTGGCACGTATCCATTTGTATGTTACACAATTGACTATAAAATTCATTATGTTATGTGTAGTATCGTTACAAAAATTCGCTTCCTTTCCGTTCCGCCGCAATTTAAATTGAGGCTTAATTCTCAGGTATTTCCTAAAAAATTAAAAAGTATATAGTTATTTATTAAAGAGAATGCGAATCTTGTAAGTTGACTGTTCATGCAACCTGCCAACATTATTTTTACTTGTACTGTGCTTATATCCCATGTACAAATTGTAACTGTAATATAGAATTAAATAAAAAGCAATTTTTCAACATCTCAATTAATCTATTCAGTTACACAATGCACATCCAAATAAGTATTATGGCATTATGCTAATATTGTAGACTGGAACAGTAGTATTGAGACAGTGAACAGCAAACTAACCATCACATTGCAACACCTACTTACAGATATTTAAGATAAATGTGAATTTACAAAAATACATTACATCTATTTGTCATAAATTGTCAATGCAGGGATTATTTTAAATTTTCTTCCTTAAATAATTTTACCGCTTACCCCCATATGTAATTAAATCAGCTTTCAGCTGGTTTACATCTATGTCTTTATTTCTATATTGACAAACATTGACATAATTGGCACCTTTGCCACATATTTTATGAAGCTAAAACGTTAAATATAAAATTGTCGCAAAGTAATAACATTGAGCAAAATCGTGTCTAGTCAGCATCAAAAGGATTTGAGCATTTAAACAAACGTAACAAAATTTCAACATTAATGGGTATGTGACTCGAAACCTTTTATAGCTTCAATTTGCTGACTTAAACCATTTGGTTTACTGTATCTCAACAAGAAAATGGTGCGTGTCTTATTCCAGCGTAACCACGGTAATTTTTAAAACTTTGAGTAGCCAGATAAAAAGTCGCTATTAAGTCAGTTCTAGTTGTAAAAAACTAGACTTAGTCGTTACGCAATTTTGAAGTTATTAATGTGTTTTACTGTTCACGCTGGAATAAGCTTATTCCGGCGGCACCATTTTTGAATCTCGAAAACCACAGCTCCTAGCTTAAATCTGATTAAACCCAATAAAAAGTCGTGAAATAGTAGGTTCTAGTCGTGAAATTTTAAAATTAGTGGCTCCTTTGTTTAGAAGATATTGGATATTCAATTATTTTCATAGATAGGTACAACATTTACATAGAAAAATCGTCGATAACTTCAAAACGGCGTAACGACTGAATCTAGATTTTTACGACTGGAACCCACTTAATCACGACTTCTTTTAGTGTAATCAGATCTAAGCTAGGTGTTGTGTCGAGACTGAGAAATGGTGCCGCTGGAATAAGCTTATTCCGGCGTGGACAATAAAACACTTAAAACTTTTGAACGGCGGATCTGCGACTAAATAGAGACTTTTTACTTGGCTAATCAAATTTCACAAACTCGACCATGGTCATGCTGGAATCAGGCACGCGAAAATAATTATAGTCGATGGAGGGACTATCCTTTCAATTTGGGACTATTTTTAAATATTAGTTTTTGTAATAGGTACTTGTTAAATACCTTGTTGAAAGTGCACCTTTAAATTCACCGAGATAAGTTTCGGTTATCAAAAACCTACATAATATAGTAATTTTGTATGCTGAGTGTATTGTGACGCTCACCATGCACTTTCAAAATCTGGGTGTCTTTTCTGTCCAATGAAATCGAGATAAAAAGACAATGGTACAACAAATTAAGAAGCGAAGTCTAATAGGTAAGTTAAGCATCACTAACATACTTGATATGCGTAAATTATTGTCAGGATTAAAATGATTAACGAAATAAGTATGTGTACTGTTTTTGTTACATATTCTAATTATAATATATGCAAAACTAGTTGTACATTTTGTGTGACTTCAAAACAAACAAATAGAAGTAACATTCAGTGCATTGTTCTTAATTATAGAGAATTTTGTATGAATTCTGCAGTACTCTAGAAAACTCTCATGACAATAACCACTTAGCTTAACTTAGCATCTAAATAAAAAGTGACATTAAAAATTATTTGTTCTGTTAGAATTTGGCTGAAATATTGAAAATCGTAATTAAGTTATACAGGGATTTATCTAATATTTTACATACATAAACTGCATTAGGTAAAAGTTATGAAATGTATAATTTAAATGCATCATGGCAATAATCAAAAAGTGTAAACAAGCATGCCAGCTATAAAAATGAAACATCAAAAATCTAAATAATACTATACATAACAAAGCTAAACCTTATGACTAAAACTCTATACCAATAACATATCAAAACATCACCAACTAATGGTACAATATGTCATGTTATGCCGTCTTTTTTATTTCAATAACGAAATTTTATACAGGTTGTAAATTTGAGACAGGGCAGCAAGGCCAGCTACCATAATCATTGTAGTTACAGGAAAACCTATCTAGAAGACTATCCATGAATTTTAAAGATATTTTGATTGGCATTCACAGATTTTGAAAAAATGGTACAGTCAGCAAGATAGAAGGAAATTTTTATAAAACTTTTTTTATGCCATTCGTTCCAGTCTCTGGTAAGGTTTAATAGTTTCTATTGGACTACTGAGGTAAGAGTACTCGAAATGCCAGAAATTGCAAAAAACCTCGGGGCAGCAATGCCCCGTCTCAAATTGACACCCTGTATATGACGATATATCATTCCAATCATAAAAGTATACACATCTATTGTACCAATATACCTCAATTTTGTATTATGGGGCAAAAACTAATACACTAAAAAATAGAACAACAACTTAAAGCAAACTAGACATGAAAGGGGTCATCACACTTATAAACAACACTAATTCATTTAAAAAAAGACAGAAACAGACATGTTCAGCAGAAGCGGAATGCGCAACGACTTTTTCGCTATTATTTCACAAACATAAAGCTTATTTGGTCAGCTCAAGTCTATAATGATTATGACTCCCTAAGCTGGAGACAAAAATTATAACAATACGCTCAATATGAAACAAAAATGAGGTCAGAATATTAATTCAAAATCATAACACCATCCTTTATAAACAGACATCTGATCTCTGTTGTTTTCAAAAACTTTTTTCTTATAAAAAATTATAAGCTTGCCATTGTGTTCTGGTCAACTTTTTTCAGACAGTTATGCACACATGCACATAAATATTTTGATTTTGTTCAAACAGACAAATTAGCTTCAGGTTACTTCTAACAAAAACAGCATAATTCAACCATGTAAAACAATCCACCAAATAGTTTAAAAAGGTGTATGTATATTGATAGCAAAGTAGTGTAATTTGATCTCCAAAAGATTTATACAGTCAAATTGAGAAGCTCCTCCTTTTTAGTAGGTATTTAAAATGTGAATAAAAAGTATCCACTACGAGATCAAAATAGTTTGCATCATTGGTCATGGTTTTTAATTTTGTAAAAAACAGTAAATTTTGGTGGTTTATTAGAGAATGAGATCAAAACTGCTATGTTTGTTGTTAGTGCTTCACTGCGCTTCTTTCTGCTGTTGCTCGCGACGTTGTCGGGCGAAGCGGCCTCGCAATTTAGATATTGTAGAGTTTGATAATGTCCCAGGTACTTTGAAAATGGACTGTAAAAAGTAATAATTAGTAACCTATAATTTGTGATCTAAATCTTCTTGTTATGAATATGAATAATGTATACTTACTCGCATGAACTCATGGCAATGCAGAGCACTCGCGTTTTTAACAATAGCCTTGAAACATTCTGCCAGCGATGTGAAGTCATTGCATGCCATGATGGTTGCACGGTTCGACTTAATTAGAGTGAGACACACTCTGAAGAGAATTTTGGAGCCCTCATAGAACATACAATCCCATATCCTCAGCACAGTCTCTATTGGCAGCACTTCAGCAAACAGACATACAAACCACTTGGTTGTTATCACGGCCCATGGCAACCCTGAACAGAATGGATAAAACAAATATTTACTTTAAAGTGAATTAGTACCTTAAAAGAATATAAATATTTTTAATGAAGTGTTCAAAAGTCAAGTATTCAAGAGTGCATGTGAATCTTTTTGATCATAAAAATATACTGAATGTTATATGGAAAGCATTAAATTAAACATACATTTCATCAATAATAGCATTAAATGAGATTACTATGATAAAAATCACATACTCAGGGAATAATCAAGTTTATCTCAGAAATGTATACAAACCGAGGTTTATCACATGCTGATGCACATCGGGCACTTTAGATTTGACTAGCTCTGATAACACCTCAATATCTACAATCAAACCATCCATGGTTCTAGTATAATAATCTGGAAGAATCTTTTCCACCAACACTTTGAGCAGCCAGAATGATGTTTCTTCACTTTTTGTAGCCAGTAGCAGAAGACCTGCATAAAAAATAACATTAATCAAGCTCATTCTTTAACTTGATGATTAGTGCAACTAACTATGTTTTCTTCTTCTATGAAGACATAATCTCAGAGAAAGAAACTGAAAATTTGCAAATACTTTCCATCCATTATACGAAAAAACAATGTGTTTTGAAGCATTCCTTTAATTATAATTATTTATACTCATTGTGACTAATCTGAAGAAATACAGTTTTCTCTTACCAGCTATGTAATTTAAGCCTTGACAATAACCAACAACTCTATTATTATGTGCATATGCAATGAGAATATTAAACAGATGTGTTTGGTGGTTAGCTTCCTTTGTAAAGTAAATGTTGTCAGGAAATGTGCGAGGCAGGTCTGTCTTCACTAAATCTACAAGCTCCTTTTCAAAAGGGCCATCTAATATTTTGTGGTACAGATCTGGGCACTGATCCTTCCATTTCTCTGCCTCGGATATTGTCATCCATACTGATGGACGATATTCACCTGTAATTAATTGAGAAGAATTTAGTTTAGTATTTACTTTTTCATAGTACAAACAAATTACTTTATACCTTAATGAATACACAAAGTGTTCATAATACTCAGGAATACATTATCAAAGGTTTGGAAACTTTGCTGTTCAATAGTTGGTGAAATTAAAAATATTTAGTAGCAAATTGTAGCCTATTGTCTACAGTGTTTTGACCCCCTCCCACGTGGAGTTTAATTTCGGGAATGGCGTGGGAGCAGGGCGAAATTAAAGGTCACTAAATACGACATGACAATACAAGCCTATAGGGCTCTTAAAATTAATGTCACATTTATAAATTTAAAGTTATCAACGCGATTCCATAACTTAGCTCGCTACTTACTTGGGATTCCCTTCCGAACATATCTTTTTACAGTGTTCGTGCGTTTGACCGACTTTCCTTCGCCAAGTAGACTAGACCATTTTAGCGCCCTTGTGGCTAGCACTTTCAGGTACACTGACATAAAATCTTCATAACTTTCGAAATCGAAGTCTTCGTGCCTCTCAAACCCATACTCGTCAACAGTGCTAAACAAAAACGTAAACTTCAATAAATTTGTTTAAAGTGTATAATGAACGCTAATGTTAACACGATTAGTAGCACACCTGAAGCTCGATTGCGCCATTTTAAATTGAAGTTCCGTTTATCCTATTTTATTCACCATAGTTCTAGAAGAATGAAATGATTGATCGCCCCCAAGAATATCCCGATATCCCAATTTGATTAACCCCACCACATGACAGCAAAGAGCAAAGTTATTGTGCAGAGACAAATTTTATTTCTCAGTGGACCACGGAAGAACAAATTTTTTAGGACTAAAACGGTCCATTCACTACCTGTAAACTACTCACACACTATCCTACGTATGGAGTCTCGCAAGACGCATTGCAGGATCGGTTGCACGGGGTCTACTCTCGATCACCGTCCAAAACAATTACTGCCAAATAAGCAATTGACCAAATGAAAAGACGCGTGACGCGAATGAAGCTTCATACTGGATACTTACTTGTCTTTTAATTTTGTCGAATATTACTTATTTGACAGTAATTGTTTCGGACGGAGATCGAAAGTAGATCCCCACGCTACGACTACATTCTTAGTCCTGCATTACGCGGCGGACGGGACGGTTAGGCTGACTGCAATGCAGGATAATGAATGCCCTCTTTTAGGACATTTACAGGAAAGTATAAAGCATGTATGTACATACATACGCCGTACTGTTGGGTAATGTTCCAAAAATTTTCAATTATTGAAATTTTTCCTACAAAAAACCCGAAAAATTGAAAAAGTATATTTTAAAAAGCATTAGAAAACGGAAAAAATTCCACTTTGACAAAATCATCTTATTCCAAAATTTTTCCACATTTGACGCTGATACCTGTCAAAAGTAGAAGTTACTGAACGAAAACGATGGAGTCAACAAGAGGTGGTGGTGGTATGGTAAATATAAAGTGATGATCTATGGTACAGCTTGGCAAAAAAGAGTATGACGCGGTGAAAACTGGAACTAAAAAAAGATATTTGTGGCAATACTATTAAAAATGTCAGTGGTGTCAAATAACCAGTAGCTTTTGTGTTATCGAAAATATTCCTCGCCCAATAAATATCAACTATTTCCTAGCCAACGCACACTCTCCAGTAGTATTCACTTTATACAAATTTCTAAAACTTAATAACATAAATCTGTAACCAGCCCCGAATAGCCTCTGCTCGACCACATTCATTTAATAATTTTCTGCCCCAACAATGTGAGTCGGAGAAAAACTCTCATTTCTGATCAGTCTTAATTTTTAAAAAAAATGAATATTCTTTATTCGTCCCGTATTCTCCCATTTTCTTTCGTATAATTTTATTTCTTTCTCCATCCTCCATGATAATTTTCCACGCTGACACCGGTCAAAAGTTTGTTATTGAACGAAAACGACGCCTAACTTTGTTTTACTAAACGATTTTATTTTTTATTTTCCGCTAAATAAAACTTCCTACAACGTTTCTAAAAGAAAGAAAATAACATGAGCTCTCAAATTATATTTTTGTAATGTCATTAAAATATATATATAACCGTCATTGTGAATAAAAACCGCCGAAGTATTTTAATAACCGGCAATCTGTCTCACTACCGCTACACATGCACAGAACACTATACTCACAAGGAGAAGAAAACCGACATCATACAAAAAATACGGAACCGTAATTGTAAACACTTGATAGTATCGGGGTTAATACTAGGTGGCGGGATAGTATACATTGTCATAAAGGCGGGAATTTTCAAACAAATTCGAACCACCTAGCGCGGGCTTTTCAAATTATTATAGCTAGCTTTCAAATATGAAGATGAAATAGGGAAACGTACATACACTACATATATTTAAAATATGTGTAGTGTATGTGTTTCCTTATTTGATCTTTATTATAATGTTTCTATAACAGAAACAGAGGAAATAAAGGTCAAATATAGAAAATAAAAACATTTATACAAAACGTGGTTTTTATTAACATATTCAATCAAAATAATCAAACCTACTAAATCAATTGTGTAAGCTAACTTAATAATACAGGTGTAAGGTGTGGTAAGGAGGTATATTGCCTGAGGAAATCGGCAAGCCAAAAAAATTAGACAGCATAATTTAAAGTGACAAGGGAAAAACTAAAGTTAAATTTTTCAATTGAGTTACAAAGAATATTGCAATTTTGATAACGATTACTTTTCCTTGATTGCAATAACTATAATAATTAGCAAATTACAATTTTACCAGCAGAGCAGTGTATTTTTGATATTTAACTGTTTATATATGAGAGACACATTACACAAATTTGGATTACGTGCACTCAATGTTATTTGAGATTATGTGAGCAATCTTAAAAATCCTTAAATATCAGCATTTCTGAGATTTTGCTGACATTTGCGAAATTAACGCAATTTTGTGTAGTTAATAAATACTGGTATAAATACCTATCTGCATCTAAATATGTACTGTGTTGATACTTATTACCTGCGATCTAAGTTGAGATTAAATAATTGATATTTAAACTTATTCAAACGATAAATTAATAATCTAAGTGTATTGACAAGGAAGTATATTGTTTGAGGAAATCGGCAAGCCAGAAAAATTTGACAGCACAATTTAAAAGTGACACGGCCAAAAAATTACTGAATATCAACTGAACGATTGGGTAAAAACAAATATTATACAGACTAGACAATGGGTACTTTCATTGATTGCAAAACTGAATTCGAGGGCACCTACGTACAAATCTAGGAAGTACAATATTACAGAAGAGCAACTTTCAACTAGTTACATAGAAAAGACGAATTCCTCAATTTTGGCACACATGCACTTTATGTGATTTGATATTAAATTAATAACGTTAAACATTCATAAATAATCACAATTTCTCCGATTTAGCAGACAGTAGGATATAATTAATATAATGTAATAAAAATGTCACTGTCAATGACAATGAATAACAAATGTCAATACGCTACAGCCAATGTTAAACGGCCTATTCACTACCTGCAAGGCAGTCCGCCGCGCAGGCAGGAGACTGCTCACACACTATCCTGCGTATGGCCCATGTATGTAGTCTCGCAGGACAGCAAGGTAGCCCGCAATGCAGGATAATGAATGCCCCCTTTTACAATGACCGTAGCACATACAATGTGTGAAAAACCTCCCCGAATAAATTTTC